TAATAGGAAGCGCCCTGCCAACCCGTTGCTAGGCGAAGGCAGCACCTGCCCCAGGCCTGCTACCCCATTGTGACGACACAACACCCTGAGGAGCCACCTGATTGGCTGGGGACCTCAGTATCCCTCCGCATAGCCAATGGGAAGCACCCTGCCACCCTGTTGCTAGACGAAGGCAGTGCCTGCCTCAGCAGGCCCCAGGCCCAACATTGCCCTCTGCTCCACTCCCCTGGGGCTGCCCCGGCCAGGCTGGGCCAGGCCGCCCAGCGCTGCTCTCCCTAGCACAACCCCTCGGGCAGTGGGAGGGCATGGGGTGGCAGGAAGGAGCCTGGCACAGAGGGCTGAAGCCACACACAGCTCATCGCAGAAGTGGCACCCCTGCTGCACGTACCATAGTCCTGCCCGCAGCCAGGCTGGGGAGGCTGGGGCTCCATCTCGACGCGGCGGCCCAGTTGATGGGGTGTTTAATTTTATGTCACCTTTTCTCTAAAGGGAGTATTTTACTAAAAACAGCCGATTAAGAGGTCAAAAAAAACTTGAAGGAACAGTTGTTACCTGCTCTTCACAGCCCAAGCCAAAGGAAGGTTAGGAACATGCAAGCTGGAAGAAACAGCTTGTAGGAGGCACCATGACAATAAATTCCTTCTCTCCATTGACCTACATTGACCAAGAGGACACTGTCATCCTCGTAGCACCATGAAGGGCAAAATTCAGTGAAGCCCTGTATTGACCTTCTGTGTGACCATCAGCAAAGCCAAGGCATGATGCTGACTTACTTCAACAAAAACACAGCCCAGATGAACAAATTCATAAAAATGACATAGCTGAGAAGAAAACTGAAATCTATTATTCCCTTTTCCAGACACCATTTGGGCTTAGCACAGGCAGAAAAATCTCAAGTGCTTTGAGAGCTGCTGATCACAATACAAAAGCTAAACGTATCACTCTTACAGGAACAAGTCTGAGTCATTTAACACTGACATGGGCAAAATATTACTCAGTAATTCCACTGACACGTGTGGATTTTGCTTCAGCTTCTTGTAGTAGTCCCTGAATAACTCTGGAAAGTTTTGACGTTCTTATTTTCCCCGATTTTTAATTTTTCATTCCACAGACATATTCTTTGGAAGTGCTGAGATGTTAAGTGTGCAATTAATTTTTAGATGTCATCTTCAAGATTAATGGTTCTTATAAATATGAGCCAGGTCCAAAAAGGTTCCATCTTCCTCCTTTCAATTTTGAGGATTAACCCAGCTGCAGGAAGAGCAGGCAAACATTGTACTAATGATGGTGTTTCTCCAGTGACTTAAATAGGAGAGAGAGAAAATTAAGAAGGTTTTTTTTCCCCCCTCCGTTATTGTCATTTGTTCACTAGATCTTCCTTAAAGCATTGAGGGGAAAAAGATGCGGAAGAAAAGAAAAAAAGGAATAGCTGCATGCACATGACAACATTGTATGCAGCCCCATTTACCATCAAGTGTAGAACAGCCCTGAAGAAAATATTGGAGCAAAAGCAGACTTCTTACCAATTGTCATAAAGTAAATACTCTTCTCCTTACTGATTTCAAAGAGGTAATTTCTTGACAGTTTGGTAGGTATGTACTACAACTACAGTTTGGTAGAACAGTGTGGCTAGAAAGGCTTCTTACAAACTGGGAAAGGAGGTAAACTGGAAGTAAAAGATATGCTTTTATTTTGAGGGTACAAAAATAATTTCTGATTAATTTTGCTAAAAGCTAGGCTACGAAACCCTGAAGGGCTTAGTGGGGCCCATTTCCAGCCCCCTGAGAGAGAGATTCAGACCTATCTCCATGAAGGAAAAGTTTAAGGAATTAGCAGTGCCCTCGTCCCACTGGGAAGACATGAAACGCGCTACCAACCTCCCTCCCCTTCTCCTTTCTGCTGGAGGCAGCTTGCGAGGGTGGGGAGAACGGAAGAGGAAAGGGGAAAGGAAAGGTAGAATCAGCTCCAAGAGGACAATCCAGGACATCAGCCACAGCTAGGCACCCCAAATGTTAGGTCATTTGAAACATGAATTACCATCTGTGATGTTAGGCATTTGTTTCTTGCTGAA